CCTCCATTCTGTCTCCAATACAACACTCAACTCACCAAACTCACTCCCTCTAGTTCCCATCCAGCCCACCCAACCCCCTCCTTCTAGTTCCATACCTCCATACCCCCAACTCCCCCCACTCCCAGTTTACCCAGGAGATCTTTTCGACTTCCCTTTCCCAGAGAAATCCATGCATCCCTCTATGGATCCCTCTTGTTATCTAGTCTATCTGGGGCTGTGAATTGCAAGTTGGTCATCCTATACTTATTGCCAATGTACCATGTTTGTCTTTCTGGGTCTGGGTTACCTTACTCAAAATGCTTTTTTTTTCTTCTATTTCCATCCAATTTGCCTGTAAATTTCATGAAGTAATCGCTTTTTACAGCTGAGTGGTACTCCACTGTGTAAATGTACCACATCTTCCTTACCCATTCTTCGGTTGAGGGGCATCTAGGTTGTTCCAAGGTTCTGCCTATTATGAATAAAGCTGCTAACCACAATCCCAGAAAACTTAGACAACACTACAGACACTAAGAGAGACTTACATAGATATAATCTACATGGGAAGTAGAAAGTATAAAAAGACAAGATCTCCTGAGTAAATTGGGAGCATGGGGACTTTGGGGGCAGGTTGAAGGGGGAAGGGGAGAGGCAGGGAGGGGAGCAGAGAAAAATGTAGAGCTCAATAAATAGCAATAAAAAAATCACACAAAAAATAAATAATGCTGCTATGAACATACTAGGTATCCTTGTGGTATGATTCTGCAACTTTTGGGTATATGCCTAAAATTGGTATAGCTGGGTCTTGAGGTAGATTGAGTCCCAGTTTTCTTTTTTTTTTCTTCTTCTTATTTATTTATTTATTTATTAAGGATTTCTGCCTCCTCCCCGCAACCGCTTCCCATTTCCCTCCCCCTCCCCCATCAAGTCCCCTCCCTCATCTGCTCCAAGAGCAATCAGGGTTCCCTGACCTGTGGGAAGCCCAAGGACCGCCCACCTCTATCCAGGTCTTGTAAGGTGAGCATCCAAACTGCCTAGGCTCCCCCAAAGCCAGTACGTGCAGTAGGATCAAAAACCCACTGCGATTGTTCTTGAGTTCTCAGTATTCCTCTTTGTCCGCTATGTTCAGCTAGTCCGGATTTATCCCATGCTTTTTCAGACCTAGGCCAGCTGACCTTGGTGAGTTCCCGATAGAACATCCCCATTGTCTCAGTGTGTGGAATATATACATATTAGAGTATTACTCAGCAGTAAAAAGCAAGGACTTCTTGAATTTTGCATACAAATGAATGAAAATAGAAAACACTATCCTGAGTGAGGTAAGCCAGACCCAAAAAGAGGAACATGGGATGTACTCACTCATATTTGGTTTCTAGCCATAAATAAAGGACATTGAGCTTATAATTCATGTTCCTAGAGAAGCTAAATAAGAAGGTGAATCCAAAGACAAACACATAGGCATCCTCATGAATATTAACCTTCATCAGGCAATGAAAGGAGACAGAGACAGAGACCCACATGGGAGCACCGGACAGAAATCTCAAGGTCCAAATCAGGAGCATGAGCAAGGAACTCAGGACCACGAGGGGTGCACCCACACACTGAGTCCCAGTTTTCTAAGAGACCACTATACTGCGTTCCAAAGTGACTGTACAAGTTTGCACTCCCACCAGCAGTGAAGGAATGTTCCCCTTACTCCATATCCTCTGCAACAAAAGCTGCCCTCAGTATTTTTGACCTTAGTCATTCTGACAAGTGTAAGACGGTATCTGGGCGTCTTTTTGATTTCCATTTCCCTGATGACTAAGGGTGTTGCATAATTTAAGTGTCTTTTGGCCATTTGAGATTCTTCTGTTGAAAATTCTCTGTTTAGATCTGTACCCCATCTGTAATCCATTTTTTAAATTGGATTATTTGGTATTTTGATGTTTAGCTTCTTGAGTTCTTTATATATTTTAGAGATCAGCCCTCTGTCAGATGTGGGGTGGTGAAGATCTTTTCCCATTCTGTAGGCTGCTATTTTATCTTACTGACCATATCCTTTGACTTACAGAAGCTTCTCAGTTTCAGGGGGTCCCATTTATTGATTGTTGCGCTCAGTGTCTGTGCTACTGTGTTATATTCAGGTAGTAGTCTCCTGCACCAATGAATTCAAGTCTAATTCCCATTTTCTCTTCTATCAGGTTCAGTGTAACTATATTTATGTTGGGGTCTTTGATACACCTGGACTAAAGTTTTGTGTGAGGTGATAGATATGGATCTATTTTCATTCTCCTACATGTTGACATCAAGCTATGCCAGCAGCATTTGTTGAAGAGATTTTCTTTTTTCTGTCATATAATTTTGGCTTCTTGTTAAAAATCAGGTGTTCATAGGTGTGTGGATTAATGTTGGAGTCTTTAATTCAATTTCATTGATCCACCTGTCTGTTTTGTACCAATATCAAACCATTTTTATCACTATAGCTCTCTAGTAGAGTTTGAAGTCAGGGATGGCAATGCCTTCAGAAGCTCCTTTATTGTATACGATGGACAACTTTTTAATAATTGATAGAGATGCTTAACAGACACCATGGGGTAACAAAATAGCAAATGATTTGTCTCAGTTCCCACCAGCCTTTTCTAGTCCCATATAATGTGGGGGCTCCAAGCTCTCTCTTTAGAGCAAGAACTGTTTGTGCTGTGATGGATGCAGGAGATGAGACCCCTGAATTCCTAAAAAAAATGACTTTGATGATCCCTATGCCCAACTATACAATCCATGTAGGTGGAATAAGGATGTGCCAAACCACTCAAAAATCCAAAATTAGAATATTTCTTGGTACCTTTTTAGAAAGTGCCAACATTTAATCGGAATCACTTCAGTTTTTCTAAAATGATAGCATCCATAAATGCATGATGTTCAAACGTGAGTTGAAATGCAGAATGCTCATGAAGTCTGAGAGTATTGTAGGCCATCCTTCAGTATCAAGGAATTCACATGTAATGATATACACCTGTAACCACTCAACAAGCTGAAGCAGGAGGATTCCTTGAGTTCAGATGTTGGAGACCAGCCAAGGCAACAGAGTTAGACGCCATCTTACATTCAAGAATATATATGTATTGGGATACAATATTTAAGTATAGAAGACAATAGTGTATGGGCCAGATTGACTTTCAGGAAGTAATAGAGGAAAACTGTTCATTAGTTAAAAGGTGTGACAAGCCCCCAGACAATAGAGGCAGATCTCAGGCACAGTGGGAGCCTCTACTTGTAAGTGTCATTGGTGTGATCTCTGTTTGAGCAAGATGTTCATAGATAAATAAAGAGACAGTGTGGAACCTAAGTTAAAGATACTGAGTAGGGGTTCAGTAAAGAACCTGTCAGAAAACAGAAATATCCAAAGGTCCAGGAAGCATGTTTTTTGTTGTTGTTTTGTTTTTTGTTTTGTTTTTTGTTTTTGCCACTCAAGATGTTGACATTTGAGATTGAAGAGCAGACATGCTCAAGGAATTGTAGTGACCTATTTGGGACTCGCAAACTCAGCTATTTGATAAGACAAAGACTTCAGTGATGAGAAAACGTGTGGGACCCGAACCCAGCAGAAAGGTTCACTCAGTCTTTCTTACTGGACTTACTGATCCTGTGCAAGTCAATAAGACCTGCTTGGACAGGAAGAGGAAATGGAATCCCCAAATCTACGGCCATAGGATTCCTATCATACTGACCCTGGGAGTGACTACAGAAGGTCGGAATGCTAGCGTGGGCAGCAAAATGCAATACTTAACAAAACATAAATCGATGTCTCCTAGCCAACGCAACTTGTCTGTTTACAAGTCCAAAGTGCTAACACATGATTTCAAACAGAGGGCTAGGAGCAAACCTAAGTAGGACACTACTTTGAAAATATCTCAAATAGAACATGGCTGGTGACAATAGTTAAAGAGTAGAAAAGTCTGGGGGGGGGAGTTTTAGAAGATTTAAATTGTTAATGGCGTTAGCCTAGCCCTGAACAGATACTGTGAGGAGATGGGCTTTTGAAAAAGTCTGGAATGTAGTCCAAATTCCTGCCTTGAAGGTAATGCTTAAATTCTCAAGGGATTTTTTTTATTTGGTTTGGATTTTTTTTTCATTTTTTTTTCTTTTTTGGTTTTTCGAAGCAGGGTTTCTCTGTAGCTTTTGGAGCCTGTCCTAGAACTAGCTCTTGTAGACCAGGCTGGCCTCGAACTCACAGAGATCTGCCTGCCTCTGCCTCCCGAGTGCTGGGATTAAAGGCGTGCGCCACCACCACTAGGCCTTGGTTTGGATTTTGAAAAGTATTTTAAAATTAAAAATAAAGTATAATTGAGTTAGAGTTTCCCACAGGAACAGCAATAGAACTTTTTTTTTTAATTCTCCTTTAAACTGTGTGATGTATTAAGATATTAAACACAGTCTATAGATAAATGGATAATTCAGAAGCAATAAACCAGCTCCTCTGACTAGACTATTATTTGGACTAGATATAATGTAAGATTCACGGGGCTTTGCTTGAATTAAGTTAGCTATAGGATTGTCATTGGAAAACAAAAACCACAGCTGCCCCCCTTCAGCAGATCTCCTTCCAGCCCCTTTTATGACTCCAAGATCAAACCTGTTTTTGCCCAGGTTCCAATTAGTGCCCTCTCCGGAGATATGCATATTTTTAACCTGGATAGATGTGAATGCAGCTTTCCTTCCTCGATCTCACAGCGTAAGATTGACTTATACAAAAGTTCCCCAGAAAAGCTGAGTGCATGCCTGTGGGGGGAGGGGAGTGCAGGGGAGGGAAGGGATCAGGGCGCCTGCGCTCTCGACGAAACATTTAGAAAGGTAACAGAAGCTGCCCCCACTTCGAAAAATGATGAGTTTGATTTAAAAAAAAAAAAAGAAATTAACAAGCTGTGTCGTGCGCCGCACATGATCAGCCATGCTTGCTAAGTCTGTCTGTTGGTTGTTGCTATGGCTACGAAAAGCTAGTGGAACCCAATGAGCTGTCGCAGCAGCGTTGAGAGGACCAGCCATTTTACTTATGGAAAGCTGTGTGGCATAGAGCTTCACGGTGGAAGAAGCATTTTTTTTTTTTTTAAATCTCTTGAAAGAAGAGAGCCACAATGGGCATGCTAGTGCACAATCATTGCAGCCACGTGTGCCTGCAAGCTGCCCCTGCGACAAGCTGTTGACTGCTGTTGCAATTAGCTGATTGGAGAACGGGGAATGCAGGGTGATAACGCCGCGTATCAGCTCGCGGGCAGCAGCAGGAAAGGGTTTTGTCTAGGGAAGGCAAGCCTTCCCCGCACAGTTATCTCAGCAGCTCCCCAACTGAGAGAACCCGGGCTCTGAAAAGAGGGTGCCTCCCTCTGCTAGCACAGGTCCTGCGCGAGGCTGCTGCTCGCAGGTCTGGGAAAGCAGGTGTGTGCGCGGATGGGCACTGGGCTGGAACGCAGGCAGCCGCTCTCGGGTTCACCTGCTTCCTGTGAACAGACTGTTAGCTCCGAGCATCTGCTCCCGCTCCTGCACGCTGAAGCTGAGGCTGAGAAAGGGGCTCCGGGCATCCCACTTGACTGACAGAGGTAAGCTTTTTCTCTCTTTTGAAAGCTCAGCATAAAAATAACTTGAAGCCAAAACTTAACCTGACATTTTTATATTGGTCGTTGTGACCTGAAATTAAGGAGGAAACACACACATTACTTTCACAAAATAATGTTTAAGATACAGAGTTAACTCTGTGAGTTGAGGTTCCAGAAATTGTGTGATAAAGAAAAAAGGCGCTGCTGTTTTCTTTTAGGATTTAAAATAACTGTTTACTGTTTTAACAGCCTATGATGGCTTGTCTTTCTGGATAGACCTGATAGCCAATAACCTTTCTCTCCAACAGAACAATGGATTCTTTTGTGACTTACCCTTTGACACGTTAAAAGAACTGCACAGTAAACCGACTGCATGCAAGCTGTGAAGCGTTTGTTTTTTAGCCTCATAAATGTTCTAATTCTTAACACCGATGTACACTTTTAAAGCGAGGAATTCTGTTTCCTATGTAAGTCGTAGTAGCTAGTGGAGTCTGTACTTGCTTACTCTAAACCAAATGGCCTGGTGGGCTGTTTGATTTAGTCCTCAGCAGTTATAGAGCAAACACTTTAGGTACTGCAAGTTACTCACACCTCCTCTCGCAATATCCTGCATGCCGGGCTACCCCAGAGCACAACACCCCCATTGTACTCCCCAGGCTCGGAATCCAGGGAAAGAAAAGAGGTGAATTATCGGCACTGAACCCCAGCACAGCTATAGGAAAACTTCTCGCACTTTTTTTTCCCTCACAAGTAGCTAGATTTCACAGGATAGTGAGAGCAAACAAACAATAATAGCAACAACAACAACAACAACAAAAATACCACATTCTTCCTACAGTTCCACACACCAATAATGGGGATGATGTCTGCCGCTGGCCACTGCCTGAAAGTGGCACAGACTTTGAATTGAAAGGGGTATAATGCCCCTTCGTGAGCATTTCTTTGGTGGATAGTCTCTTAGGAACAAGCTGGTACTCTGAGTTCAAACTGATCAGTCAAATCAAACTCCCCTGGCAAGGAAAGAGCCAAGAGATGATTACATTCTGCCTTAGCGCCCTTTCAGCTGCCCTGAGTCAGTTTGGCTGCTGGAGGACCAGGAATGTCTGGTTAGCCATAATGCTGTTAGAAATACTTACTGAAAATCATCTGGCTGGAAACTTCTGATAACTCGTCTCTACCAGCCAAAGATGGAGCTGATCATGAAATTGCAAATAAAAAGTAACTGCGATCTTTTTCCAAGAAGTAGTTTATTCTTTACTGTCTTTTTCTCGCAAAATACAGATCACATAAGGAGTCTCCTAATAATGTTAGTAGGAATGTTTTCACTGATATGTGAGAACACGTATCACCTGTTTCAAACGTTCGCATAGCCTCAGAGCCAATCATAAAATGTAAGAAGGGGCTGTCTGTTCAGGACATAAAGATTTAGATTAAGAATCATCAGTGTGGAGAAGTGTGAGCACGTGTTGGATATGAACGCATGCAAACATGACTGTGAGTGGGAAACGTTCTGTGGGATAAAATGCTCAGATGATGGAATCGTCCTTCACTTAGTTTAGTTCTCAAGGAAAAGTAAACGAACAGACTTTTAACATGAAGACAGCTTCTGTGAATGCCAATCTCAGCCATGTAAGTGAAGACAAAATGAACGGTAAGAAGGAGCCCCCTTCAATGTCACTTCCTTTGGTGACACCGCCAAAGGAGTGCTTAGATTAACACTGGGAACACACCCGAGGCAAGGGAATAATTCTCTGAGTTTCTCTTGACGTAACTTTTAGAACCGGTTGTAGAAACACCGACTGCACACCGCTCGGGTGGCGTGCCCTGTTGCCTTTGTGGTATCTTTACGTGGGCCAAGAACATGTGAGCACCCAGGAAAACAGGCACACAGGCTCCTTACCCCTGCTCTGTTTTCCTATGACGCTCACCATTTAAGAGGGCAGCTACAGGGAGGAACATCCCCAAGCCAACATCAGCAGCAACCGTTACTTCATCAGTTCTAAGAATGGAGTTCAGAGAGTCCTCCTCGTCTGTCACCACTTTGCTCGTTGTGTTTTGTCTGGTTTTTGACACCGTTTCTGCCGTTTTCAACTCTCCAATTGGCAAAGTCAAATATTTCATCATTTCTAAAACACACTCTCAAGCCCTGGCAAATGTGGTTGACACCCTCCGTGGTGTACTTTCCCTTTAACTTTCCCAGCCGCACTGGTCATTTTCATGGGCCCTCAAGAATCCAGCAAGGACGCCCCACCCAGACTGTTCCTTACCACATCCAGCACCCCATGGCTCTTTTTCTGTCCACGGTATCATCTTGCATTTGCCTCTGCTCACAGGTTCCAGTCTTACAGGCCTCTGATTCTACAGAACTTTGTGCAGCATTTAGAACCTAACATTCAGAGATTGTGTTGATAAATTCGGGCTTCACTATTGGCTACTGTAAATGTAGCCATGATCTAGTATTGCCTTTCATCAGAGAAACTCAGAACATAATAAAATAAAATCAAAAACTAGAAAGAGTAGCGACTTGTCAGTTATGAAAATGTCACTCTGGAATCACAGTTTTATAAAAGCAATGGCTATCTTGTATTAAATAGTCATTTTCTGAAAGAAAAACTTTAAATGTATCTTTTAAAAAAGGTTTTTTTAATAAAAAAAAGAATTAAATTCTTTTTTTAAAGTTCAGGTAAAAATAAAAAAAAAAAAAAACAACTGAACATTCCTGCTTGGGATTCCCTCTAAGACAACTTTTGACTGGAAACTGAATATAATGTAGATGCTTAGGAAGCAGCTTTTCATATTGAAGCTGAGAAAGAGAAAGTTTTTAGCTGAAGGGGGAACTAAGGAATTGGAATGCAACATCTAGTAGCCAAGCTCCTTTCCATTTTCCTAAATAAACCTGGAAGGTTACAGGTGTCCTCATCAGTAGCTCACTGATGCCCTGCCCCCTTCCTCCTAAGGTGAGCTCCTACATGAGAAAGGGGGGCTGTGGCTCCAGGTGTAGACCTGGTTTTAACAGAGACTTACCTTTTCCCCCAGATAATGGCATAATTATTATTTTTAAAAATATTCTAATTACCGTTTTGTGAGGAAATTGCTAGAATGCTGTCATCCACGGGAATGATGCATCAGGAACTCTGTGTACAATCCCGTCTCTTAAGGTATCCGCGCTCAAGGCAAAAGCATTCATTAGTTTGGCAGGAATGTTTTGCCCAGAAAGTATTTCAGATCAGAAAGTTCAAAATAGTCCGATGTTTCCAATGAGAAAAGGAAAATGTTAGGAAATATTTAAATTTGTATTTCTAGACATTCGAATGTCTTCACCGTATTTGGATCTTGTAATGGAAACGAGTTAAGTTCCTTGTGATTGTGCTGGCTTCTAATGGCTGTGTTAGCTATCTTCCAGCTGGTGCTGATGTATAGCATGCTATAATTAATTAATAGATAAAGTTTGATATTCATCTTAAAGGCTAGTTAATTATCTTGCGTCACATATAGTTACTAGATTTTAGGAAACATAATCTCATCATTCTCTATATTTTATATTTAAGTAACATTTTTACATTATACATAAAAGTATTTGATAGTATAATGATTGGCCCTTGCATTTTGCCGTGAAGAATAGATGACTGCATTTGATAATTTTCTGAAAGTTGTACAAAAGGACAAAAATTATTCTTGGTACAGATATGTGTATTCTAAACTATCCCTGTCAAAAGTTCTAGTGAGTGTTCTATCTAGGTCGTTTCTGAAAATGCTAAGGCACGTGTATTCAGCTATAGGAGCACACTTCTGTGACTGTTGATCTCTAAAAATGGCCCCATCACTCTGATTCAGTTCGAGTTCAATCAAGGTGATGCTAGTTGGGCAGAGAATGAAGTTCCCTCTAAGACAGGTCTGGGGAGGGCATCCATTGTGACATACTTATATAGAATGATGTCACACTTTTCAGTCTTCAAAACAGAAATGTACTAGTTCATTAAATAGGAAACTTAGCCAAAAGGCATGACTTTCTTGTCCCCATATGAGTCAGGTATATATAGGTCTAACATTGATTTTGCTTGCTCTTTGAAAGGTTTTATTTGAGCAAACTTCAAAAAACTGTCATTCTTCCTCAACCTAACTAAGAGCCATTTCAAATAGAGCATTCCTATCCCCTTCAAAAATATCCTATAGACATTTCTTAAGTTCTTTCTATGAATATATGGTAAATAAAGGAAAATCAAATAAGGAAGAGGCTTACTTGAAATTCTCAGAAACTTTTAAAATGCATATTTGCTTATTTTCTTGGTTTGGGTTGTTTTTATTCAATACAAACATTCAGTTCCCCTACTGTTCCTTTAAGAAATGTTCACAAAGGAGGGCAAACATCAAAAAGGACTTTCTTGTAATGAACCATATCCTCTGTCTTGAGAGGAATATAATTTTACGCAGTATTAATTAAGGTGTACTTGGAGGCTTAAGTTGGAACTAACATTCTTACAGGGGACCAAGGCGAGTCTAGGCCACAACCAACATGGAAAAAAATCTTCAGACTCCTTTCCTACGCAATAAATAATTTCTGGAACGCTGGGAGTTGAGAAAAGGGCAATGAAAATGCCTATGGTTCTGTATCCCCTCCATTCTTCTCAGTGTGGTGGTACATTTTAGAGACTAAGGTCTTTGGAAGGATCAGCCATGAAGTGCAAGAAACTACAGCATAGATGGGCTTCAAACCAAGAGGCTCAACACTTAGAAATTTCCAAACAGAACGCACAAATGCCAGTAGGACTTGAGTGAAGTTTTTAAGTTCACAGAAAATTTTATATATATACATACACATAATATACATACATATATACACATCATACACACACACACACACACACACACACACACACACACACATTCTGGCCACACTGGAGAAAATGGTTTTATTTAAAAACTCCTTCTGTCATCCTCTACAAAGTCTGTGCCAGCCTAGGATAGCTGGCTTCTCAGGAACATTTACACCCCTAAGGAAGTGA